GGTTGCACAATTATCCCATAGCAGAGGCCAGATGGACCAAGTCACAGTCCAAATAAAAATTATTGTAAGTAACATTAATTATCACATAAAAGAGATCGGGTTAATCCAATTACAATCAAAGTAAGCACTCGATCTACCGTTAATAAAAATAGAAGAGGGAGGTTTTGAGGAGGTGTGGGTGGGGTTATGAATTGAGTTGAGAAGAGTTAATGGAATGATTAGCCGACAAAATCAATGAAAAGCATAAAATTATGGAATTCACAAATTATTGCTATAATTTCTCAAAACAAACTATCATTCATTTATTATTATCGAGAGAGGATTTTAAATCATTTCAAACGTGTGTTTGTAGCACTTGAAACGTCGTTCTTAAGCGGAAACATTTAAATATTTTACAAAGGAATTATATGTTTAAACTTATTTTGAAAAATAAAATATTTAAGAGTTGTTTGATTTTTTTAATTTTTAAATAATAATAAAAGTAAATCTAAAAATTTGTTTCTGAAAATAAATTAAAAGATTGTTTAATAATTACATTTTTTTAAATTATTTTAGACAAAAATATATACATAATCATAAAATTATGATGAAAGTTAAAAAAATATTTTAATAATTTTATAATAATAAAAATAAATGATTTAATATAATTATTGATAAAAAATTATATTTATTAATAAAAATAAAACTAAAATAAAAATATCTTTTATTAATTTTGATTTTTTATTTTTTAAATATTTAAAAATTAAATTTATTTTAATAAACAAAACAATTTTTATTTTTAAAAATTAAAAAGCTGAAAATAATTTTTAAAAACTATCTTAAAAAATAATTATTTAACATGTTTTTCAATTTATAAAACAAAAAATATATATATTTTTAAAACAGTAAACAAATAAGCTTATACAATTTTCGTTTCTAAATTTGTGAAAAAAAGAGGATATTTCCGTGACAATTATTCCTACATATTAATTTAAGATGTAATTTTAATTCAAGATGCAAATAATAGATTATGAAATAACGTGTATATTATATGCTTTTGTTTTCTATTCTATTATTTTATAATAGTAATAAATAATTAAAAATACAAATAAAACTATTTTATTTTTTAATATTTTCTAAATATTATTTAATTCATTTTTTGCCGTCAAATTTTATTTAATAATATATAAATATATGATAAAAAAAATTTACTACTTTTTAAAAGTTATAATATACAATACGTGAATAATTTTTAAATTTTTTTTGGAATTAAATTATATTTTAATTTTATTTTTTTCAATTAACATGTGAAATAAAAAATTATATATGATATATAATTAATTATTTAACATTTTTAAAAATAATTATTAAATAATGAAAAAAATCTGCATATATAACTATTTTTTATTCTTAATTCATATAATTTTTATTCTTTTAATTGATGATGTTTTGATAATTAATTAAATTATTCGATTAATATACTTATTTATTACAAATCAATCAAATTAAACATAATTTTTTACTCTTTATTTTCTTGTAAATAATATTATTTTTTACTCAACTTTTATTATTTACCTTCTCATTTTCTCAAATTTCATCTCTAATAAACATAATCTAAAAAATTAAGAATTAGAGATTTATTTTCTTTCTCATCGTTTATTTTTTATAATCTATTATTTCTTTTAATCTAACCCAACGAGTTCTGTATAAATGAAATATTAGTAAGATTCGTCAGAATTTAAATATAAGTGATGATCTTCGTATTTGTAAGAGAATTTATAAACGCATACATATACTTTGAATAAATTTAAAAATTTTTAAGAGATGCTTAATAATAATAATAAATAAATAAAATATGAAATATATAATATTGTTTTAAAAATGATTTCCAGTCTATGCTAAACATGAATAGGTAATTTCAAAATTAGAGATTAACTAAGAAGTGAGTGTTAAATAGATCCCATGAACATGTTATCATAGAAACTGGACTACAATTGTAGTAATCTACGAAAAACATGAAACGAAATATGAACAAAATAGTTGGTAAAGCTAATCTGACACAAACAAAAAGTTATATATTAACTGTTTCTTAGTATTCTTATTCACAAAATGAGGAGGCAATAAATTTGAATGTTCTTATTGGGATGGAGTGGATTAGAGGATACATATAGATAGAGTGATGATCTTCTGGAACCTGACAACCCATCACAGAAATGTACGATTTTTTTTGAAAATTTTAGAAAATCAGGTCCTATCCTAGGATGCTGTTCTTGTTGGTGGTGGTGGGTTCAGGAGCCCACTGTCCCCGGCACGTGTGTCGGAAAAGAGAGAGAGAGAGAGTGTGGCATTTTGTGCATCAACAGCTGGAATATGTTAACCTAACCAAAGAACCAGTTTTTGGTGATGAAAGGTTGGATTCCTTCGGAGCAAGGAATAAAAATGAAACGATGAACAGAAAGAGTCTTAAAAAAGTGAAGCCATTTAAATTGTATTGTGATTAGTGAAGTTTAAAAATGAGTACACTTTGTTTGAATTGCTTACTACTTTTAAAAGTAAAGGCATCACACGTGAAAAGAGCATAATTAATGAGGTTTTCTTTGGATTTTTGGTGATAATAAATGATAATTGTTATGATATGTTCAAGTTCTGCTACAGCCTGTAACAATCATTCCTTCCATACAAACTGTCTCCATTATCTATCTTTTTATATTATTATTGGTTACTCTCTGTAAAAAAAATTGTATAAATTGACCTAAGTTTGTACCTATGTCACATATTGTACAGATATTTTGGTAGAATATAGTTTTATATTATTTTAAAATCGAGTAATTTATCAAAATATTTTAAGAATAATTAAACGAATAAAAACTTCGTTTTTTACTTTCTCTCGTCCGTGGATGTTGGGACACACTTACCTGTAGTGGTGGGGGCTAAGGTTTCCTCATATTTTTCAATTTACTTTCATAATTTTATATAATTATTTTATTTAGGGTTCCGAGTATTTAAAATAGGTAATTGTGATGGGACAAATAAATAATTATTTGAATATTGGAAAAGCTATGGAGCTTCGACTGGTTTGTATGGGACAAATAATTATGATCTAAAATGGCCACATGTTTCCTTTCTTGAAGCATGTTTTAAACAGAAACCACGTAAAAATAGTAGTGATTGATATAAATATAGTGCTGGTTTTGTTAGTTATATTTATTTAGATTGAATAACAAGAGTATAGAAGAAAATACTTTGAAGGGAATAAAGCAATAGAAAAAGCAAGAGATGAGTTACCTTCATTCACCACCGACACTCCCTCGTGACATCATCAATTGCTGAGAGTAAAAAAACTTGAACCTTAAAAGGACATCAATTGCTGTTCTCTGAATTTTCATGCACAAAATGTGTGTTGTAATAAATATATACTTGTTATTGGTTGGACCATTCAATGAAGTGATTTGGAATACTCAAATACTCACCATAATTGGCTCTGGAATAATTGTTCCAATTCATTCATTCTTTTTATATATTTCTTCTTCTTTCTTTTGCTATATAACTAGTTTGAATCTTCAAAAAAAGTATAAGCCAAAGACCAATTAAAAGAGTGGGTAACTAGTCTATTTTGGAATTAAATTGGTATTGTGTATTTATTTAACACCTTATATCTATGCTCTTCATTTTAAAATGAAGCATTTAGTTTGGTTTAGATGAAGATAGCTAGCTCCACTTTTTCATCTCTACCAAATTCCATGCCCCTTCAGAACAAGGGACCAGATTCCGTGGACTCTTGTAACCTTATCACATTTCAATAATGATAATGCACTAATACTTCCACATTTTGCCAGAGATTAAAGATAAGTAATCAGAGGACAATGACAACAAATCAGTATAAATATCAGCATATATAAATACAATTATATTTAAAAAAGTATTTCTAACATTCTCTTTAACTTATTCTTTTTAACGCAGTCTTTATTAAAACTTTTAACATATTATAAAATCAAGAGTGAAAAACCATTAAACGAGAAGTGAGATATATAAAAATGTAATTTTAAATAAATTTCAACCATTAATTAAAATTATGTTTAAGATGTGGGTCAAGTAAGCTTAATGGGCTCAAATTCAAGTGAGGCATATGGCCCAATGTTGACTACATAAGTTCTAAGGGTTTAATATTTATTTTTTTCTATGAAAATAACATTTTTCAACTTAAACCCTATAGCTTTTTTTTATAACTTTCACTACTTATATTTTTCTCCACAACCATTATACCATATAGTCCTCACCCTTTACTTGATTGCTGATGTGAAAAATCTGTACTTACTTTTAATGTATTAGTATAAGATTGTGATTTTCTCATCTGTCTTTAAATTTGTTCAGAACTATATTACTCACTATTTTTAGGAACTAAAAATGATAAAACCGAGGTTTTATAGGTACTAAAAGTGAAAAAAACAGGCTTCGTTTTTCTTGTTTTTTGTGTGTAGTATGATGTACATTATTAGATCGATGAATGACCGAGTTCAGCCAAAAAGAAAGAAAGACAGAACCGACTTGCAAGTAATTGAAGCTTAATAGCTGGTCACATGTAACACAAAACTCGATGACTGTCTAGGGAATGGAGAGTATTATTTCTTCATTTTCTTCAATTGTTGAATATTCTTTTTTGATATATATATTTATCCTCAAACTCTTCTACTGTCTTGATTGTCTGATTATTTTGCCACCACCTACTACAAAACCATTCACAGTAGAGAGAATTAGACAAGTTATCCAAAATACATTCAAACTAAGCATACCATGTATGTATAATTTCATTCAACACTATCATCTTACAAGTATATAATTGGGATAAACGAAGCAGAAGACATGAGTTAGAATAAGAATTCATATTTTCAATGTACTATACTCATATTTGCAATGCAGGGAGCCAATCAACTTCAGCAAATTTTAGTAATTGCGCAGTGCATCGATTGGCCAAATTCTAGATATTACAGATTCATTCTTTCAAAGTCCACTTACCTCATATCTCAAGAAGGACCAAGAACATGCTTGAGAATCTTGGTCACCAATCTTATGATATCATCTACCTTACATGAGGTCACAAAATTTACTGACAAAAAGATCCTTTTGTTACTTGCTCATGATCAGTACAAAATGTTTGTTCATATGATTGTATTAGAAAGTCGATAGAAAATCGAACAGGCAAAACTATATAAGCACCCAGATGCACTTTCTTACCCCACGCAAGAACTGGAAACTCCCATTTCTGTCTAGGGACCTTGATTACATATGACGTAACCTGCAGGAGTATATTACAACTTCGCAATAGTATATTACCTCATATTACTTGGATTTTTGAAATAAGTAGTAGGGAATATACCAAGATTGACGCAGCAAGGGATTTAGGAGACTTAAAATGAATCGACATATCCTCTTCTTCATAGAGAAGATCCATAATATCCATGCAAATCTCCATGCTAATCAATTCACCAACTTTGGCCACTTCCCTGTTCTCAACCGTTCAAGAGCATGAAGCAATGAAAAGAGAACAGAATGGAAGTATAGTGATAAAAATGAGTCACACTCACTTGAACTGAACCCAAAGATCTTCAAGGAAGAAAAAAGCAATATTTGTTGTGCCAATCTCAAAATTCAAAACCTGGGGATGTACCAAATCATATCAGGAACAACTCAAATCCTATAGTTCACTATTGATAGCAAGGGTTTAGAAAAGTTCTGCAACATCAAAGTTTTTATGGTGTGAGGGCCTGTAATTGATGACGTATGAGCTGTATATGTGTGTATAATTTTCGACACGATCATGGTTTGTGAAAGAAAACACAACCCCAACGTAAAAGGTTGATTGATACGTGGGGAGGAAGTTACCTGCATGAAGAGCACCTCCTGCAGAAAAAGTAGGTAAAAGAGTGAGAGGATATAAAAGGAGAAAAAGGTGGTGATGATGAGAAAAGAGAGAATTGGGTGGCTCACTGCATCTAGGAAATTACGAGTAGTGAAGTGGTGTTCCTTGATGGAAGCGTGAGCGAATGACTTGAGACATGTAACGGAGAGTGGTTGAGAGTTGTGTATCTGCATGCATGCATGCATAGATAGCAGTTTTTGCAAAAGTGATATGACAAAAACAGTAGGAGAGAGAATGAGGTAAGAAAGGAACCGACTTTGGTAGAAACCCAAAGAGAAATAAGCACAAACAGGTGGAAGGTGGCTTCGGAGAGAGGTGGCAATAGGCAGCTTGAAGAAGAATTTGGAGGAGCTTGTATGAAGGTTGGTAAAGAGGGAAAGAAGCGATCGACTAAGAAGGAGAGTGCAGAGTATTTGACAATAGGTGAAACTTGGAGGTGCTGACATGAGATTTGGGATTAGAAAAGAGAAGAAGAAGAAGAAGAAGAAGAAGAAGAAGAAGAAGAAGAAGAAGAAGAAGAAGAAGAAAAAGAAGAAGAGAAGAGAGGAGGTTACTTGAGCAGAGTGGATGAGAAACTCAACAACGGGGAGGCGCTGGAAACAACTCTCCATTCCAACCAAATTTCAATCTGAGTTTCTTCAGGGTTACTTCAAATCAACCTTCACTGCATTCACATGCATTAATCACTACTCAAACAAAATTAAAACTACGCTATGCTGTGGTAGTTTGTTTGGTAGGTCTTGTGTAAATGTGGCTCTAATTAGAAACGGACACGTAGGTAGTTTGTTTATTCTCAGCAAAATATTATTTAAGCACAAATCTGCGTTGAAATATTTATTATACAAAGTATTGTATTCAAGGAAGAAGATGAGTTTAAGAATCTATTTTCCCATCGAATGGGATTCAAGCAATTTGGTGTTATTATAAAACTCCATTAATTAATTAATCAACCTTTTATTCTACTACTTCTCTCTTCAAAGATTGCATTGCACGCCTCATCAAACAATACTATCCGCCAGGAACATACCTATAAACTCTAATTTTTTCTCGCAACTTGCATTTATAAAAGATAAACTATATTCATATAAAAAACTCCACACACCTTTCAGATAGGGAGAGACGAGAGATAAATGTAGAATAAGATGAGCAAAGTAATAGAAAGGATGAAAAACAAAAACTATCTGATTTTGCATTCTTCATGGAATGAGGACAAGAGGATGATGTTCCCACTTCCTGTCAAATATATAAAATTTTATGTCATTAACTTCCACAATAATTGCCTTAGACTTTGCCGTCTCTCCAGTTTTAATGCATAAATTTGCTCAATAATTGCCTGATCTTATTATGAATATCTATTATTTATTAACATACAATCATAAATTTAGTTTTTCTGCTAATTTCAACAACATTTTTTTGGAAAGTGAAAAGTAGGATCCCAATAGATGTAAAAATATTTTTCAAATATATAACAATCGGAAACCCAGTAGCCTACATGACCTTGCCTTGAATTCAAGATGTTTATGGGTGATAGCTCTGGGAATGAGTTGAATAATGGAACTCTGGTGTGGGTTGAAAAGTGAAGCTTCAAGAAAAACGTATAGATTTAATGGTGAAAGACACATTTCAACCTTCTACCTACAGGATAATTTAAAAAAGTAGCTACATCATACACAAACAATATATCGTAATTTCTTCTTCAACTTGTATATTTATTATAAGTGAATCTAAAACATGTATATGCATGTACATGAGAACACTAATTATTAGTTAATGGTCATTCACAACCGGAAACTTGGTTGCTTTTTACAAACAAACTCATCCGCGGGAGAAACTTCAAACTGAGTTTTAATTTGTTCAAATCTCTCTGACAGAAACAGCCTTTCAAAGCTTCTGAGTGCTGCTAAAACCCTCACTTCTGCCACAAACAACGCCTTCACAGGCCTGTGATCTGATAGTTTTGATTCACTTCTACTGTACTCCATTTGCTTCAGACCTTTGCCAAGCCATATAACTCTGTCACACCTGAAATGAAGAAATTTTCCAACCCTTTGATTCTTTTTTTCTGAATTAACAAAATTATTGGAAAGTTGTTGTTTTATAATTAATCAATGGCTCACCATGCTGGTGCTCGTTTCTTTGCTGCTTTTTTCCCTTGATAACAACATCCATAGTACAGATCAGAATTTGGACAATACTTGTAGGTTGGGGCAAATTTGATTGTTCCTTCGTGCCATCCTCTTAACATGTTTCCACTCATTACTTCCATCATTAGCTTCAATTTCAATAATTCAATCCAAGTTAAAAAATATACTACTTAATTCCAACAAGCTATTTTCTTTTCCCAGATATAACAAATACTAGAGACAGAGGGATGGAGATAGTGTGTGAATAGTATAATAAAACCTTAATCATACGGTTAAAATGAGTAATCAAGATTAATTCAATGTATATGTTTTTGTATTTTTGTTTATTGTATTTACATACCTGATCATATTCTAGTAGGGAATCCCAGTCTTCATTTTCAACAAGTAAGCGTGTTGTTTCTTCAGGTAAAGAAATTCTGTAATTTAAATCTCCTAGCAATATTATGTGGCTGCACAACAGGGCCATGATTATTGGTTAAAGTAATGCAACTTGTAAGTCATATTTGAATATTGAGTAATTAACTAAATGGTTAAAGTTGGTACGTAGAAAGTAAATTCAATTTTAATATTGATTAATTAAAATATGAATGGAAACTTATCGGTGAAAATATTGTGTTTTATTCTAATTGATTGGCACCTTTTGTATCTTTTTTTAATTAATTAATTAATCCACAGCCCCTCTTTAGTTACAAACAAAAAAGCCAACAAAGAATAATATTTTAAGTGTTTTGGCGGCCTTCAAGATTTAGTAGGACAAATTCAAAGCTGGAAACATACAATGATGCTTTCAACTAGCAATTAAGTAGCAAATTGTTTATTTTAACGCCCGTAAAAATAAAAAGAAAAAAGTTATTCAATATTGGAACCTTGTTTTCATGATTTGTTGGGAAAGGAACTTAATTATTATTAAAATAAAACAAAAAAAGCAATTATTGAGGTTGATTAGTTGGAGGGTTTGTAATTAACAACAATGTATTGGTTACTTACTCATGATCAAGAATCTTTCTTGGCAAATCAAGCAAAGGGCCTTTGGGAAAGCTTGTCCTTGAAAATATGTCAGCAACATTAGAGTTTCTGCTCCTCTCATCCCCCTCTCTCCCCCCAGAAGCTAGGTGACCACACACAAAGCAAAAACTTGTTTCATGTAACACAAATCTCACAGACACAGAACCCTGCAAATTCGAAGAATTAAATAAATTTGATCAAGAGGACTCATTCCTAGCCAATAAGATGTGAGATTTTGGACACTAAATGAAGTTGATGTTGACAGTGATGAGCATATATAATTAAACTGCAAAGTGCAAAACAAACAGATATATGATGCATGACTAGATGTTGAATTGAAGTGGTAATTAATTAAGGCAATACTAATATGAATGAATTAAGTGGGGTTTGGTTAGGTAACCTTATTCCCTAAGCAGCCCATGATGCCACATCCGACACATGAGACACTTGGATGTTGAATTAATGGACGAAGGTGTCTCTTAGCCCATACAGATATCATTATACCAACCATTTGCTTGCTAATGATACACTGGAAATCTTGTGGGGCTTCACACTTCTGCTGACCTGGATTACCATTCCCTTCCTTAATGCAACAATTTCTTCTCTCTTCATCTTTCAAATCCTCATCATCATGTGTGCTCTTGTTCAGGGCTTCTCTGATTATGGAGTTCCACTTTGTAGAAATCTTACTGTTTTCGTACCCCAATACATTGGATGCTTTCAGAGGCACAATTTCTTGAAACCTAAACAGTTGAAAATAATAATAATAATAATAATAATAACATTTAAGCAGGTTGCACCACATGCATGTTATTAAAGATTGTCAAACGAACCTCAATTCATACCCTAGTACATAGATGTCACAGGACTTGTTGCATGTCTCCAACAAATCCTCCATGTTCACTCCTTCATCAGGGGCAACCCCACCTGTGTTCCATGTGCTCACAAAAATCCTTACATCATTAAAGAAAGATTGTGTCAGAAACATATGGAAATAATTAACTAAAATTTAAACAGAACAAAACCCAGATCAAGAATGATGAAACTCAATCAAACAACTATATCTACTCATCTGCATCTTTTCTTTATGTGCATGTAAGAGTTGTCAGATCAGATGGACAAGAACACACAGAATTAATGTATATCATATGATGTTTTAATTCTTACTTGTATTTTTGTGTATCTTTGTGATCGTTTAGAAGTGTTTTGGATCTGAGAGACGAGTGAGCATAACCCAACAAGGATTCTGTATTACTTGGATAATCTGCTATAAAATTGCTGCTTCCCACTCGCTTGTTGAGTATCTTATTAGCCACTAATGCAGGCCACATGAACTAAGGACATTGTATGTGCAAAGAGATTCATGATTCGTGTCAATAAGAAATAGGTAAGAGATTAAAGAAGATAAGGGAAGTTATTAGTTGCATGTACTTACTTCTGCTAGCTTCCAGTCACGGAAAGAAACAGTGGTTTGTGCTATTTTTGGTGAGAGAAAAATTATCAGAATGACATGAGAGATTAATAGAGTGAGAAGGAGGAACAGCTAATTTAACGTAACGTAGAAGAGGATATATATACCCTTTGAAACATTGATGGATATATTGTGTAAAATTTCAAAATGGGAAATTTTTTTAATTGAGCAAGTATGAAGAGAGAGAGAGGGGAGAAAACATGGGTCTTGTTGAATAATATGGAATTGTTGTGTTTGATGATGCGTAGAATTATATAATAGAAGGATATCTGAATGTTTGATTCAGAAATATAAATAGTTGAAATGGGTGCAAGTGGGAGTAGTGTGGTCCATGCAAAATATTAGCCCAACAAGTTGCCAAACCCTTCTGCATGCTAACATTATCCAAGCGTTTTCATTTGGAAAACGACCCAATATATATATATTTTTACTAGTTTCAATCACATTATTATAACTGCATTTCTTAATTAATAACACCCAATCTATTTATTGTGGTTAAGAATTTTTCAAAGCTTTTTTTATTTTATACTCGTAGATTTAAAATTAATCTTTTCCCCCTCAGTTTTATCACTTGAACACAAAGAAAGAACACGTTTACACGATTAATCATATAGTAAAATAAGTCAATTCTTCTTATTTTAATCGATTTTATCTTTAGTATATATTTAATTATATTAATAATTTTAAATTTTTATTTATTAATTAATATTTTTATTATATAAATTAAAAAAATATTTATACGTTAAAATACCTAACTATAATTAATAATTTAAATTTAATTAGTTAATATTTATAATTTAAGTTATAATATTATAGTATATTTTAAAAATATAATATTATTTGTTTTAATTTAACATATAAATATTTTTTTAAACAAGTTAATGGATAGACTCTTGACAAAATATATTAAAATAGATTAACGGATTAAATCTATCAATTTTAAAACGTTGATATGCTTCTAACGTTCTCTGAACCATTATAATTTCTTAGTAACAATCATTCATACCTTATAACTTTCTCAAATTCTTTTCATTTTTATATATTCTGTTGTATATTAGCGTCGCACTTTATCACTCATAGAATAATTAATATAAAAGTTAATAAAATTATGTGGAAAGGGATAAGTTAAAGAAAAAAGCATTGAGTTGATTTTACAAAGGTTGGTGACATTCAATTCCCTTTCCAACAATATTCTTTCACTTAGCTGCTCATTGCCTGGTTTGCACTATTCCTATCTAGAATGCGTCACTAAAAACCAAAAGTGTGAAACGAAACTAAAACATGATTGATTATAAGATGAATTGCGTAAAGACAAAGGTTAAGTATTTGTGTTAATCATGTTATAGTTTTTACACTTTTTTGTTTTAGGATGCATTTTTTTTTCTTTTTTAAAATTATGATATAAATAAAGTAATCTAGTAGCTATGATAGTGATTATGGTAGTAATGAAGATTAGTTTGTTTGGTTAGAAAGAAGATGAGAACTAGGAAGCATGATTGGATGGACGGTACACAATGAACTTTATCTTATTTTAGACTGTGATTTAGATTATCCAATTAACATGCTTCTTCCTATTACAACACCATTAATGTAAAAGATGCATCTAATCAAATGCATGCTCCTCCATGAATAATTCATTTCTTTCTACCAATCACAATCAAACACTTCTCACTCACTTTATTACAAAACTAATACCAAAAGGTGTCACCCTCTAATTAATTAATCATCTTTTTTTTTTTTAGACTAAGTTCTATATGCACCAACCACTACCATAAACAATTCATATTTCTTTTATTGTAAATAAAAAATAAAAAATAAAAATCTTTTAGTCTTATTTTAGAAAAAAAAATTCTTCTAGATCCCAAAATTAATCTTGTTCCATTCCCATTTTTCAAAATAGCACTTAGTATATTAGATGGTGAGATGGGAAGGGAAAACGTATGGACTTGAAAATGGAAGATGTGGTGCATAATTTTTTTTAATTATGATTAAAAATTGTAAAATAATTATTTAATTATACAACCCTATATATTTATATCGTATTTCTAATTAATGTTAAATTTTATCACTTTGATAAAGTAATTTTACAATCATCTCATTACTCATAATTTTTTTCTCTATATTTTACAAAAATTATAATTGTGAACCACTTTAAAAGAAAAAGGTGCATACGTCCAATGAAACTTTTTGTTGGGTTTACATTGAAGTTCTATTTGCACCGACTACTATGATAAGTAATATTGTATTTTCTTTTATTTTTTTAAGGTTGACTATTTTTTAAAAGTGGACAATAATTATTGTAATTATAAAAAGTTACACTTTTAATTTTTTTTAATATTATACTTACCACTTTTTTATTAAAAGACTTCGAATCTTCATGGTCCCAAAAATTCATACCTCTCCAAATTATTTGGATAAGATAATAATGCGCCCATGAATAGTTCATTCCCATTAAACATTTGGGTATTTTGTGGGAAAAAATTTACTTAGTTATAATTTATTATGTACAATAATTATTTAGTGAATCCTAAAAAAAAGAATATAATTCAGTAAAGAAAAAAAAACTGACTGAATAATTTGCTAAAAAAAAATAATAATAATGCAAATACAGCTTCCTTGTGAGAGACTTGTACAACTTTTCTTCTTCACAACCTAAAAAGATTTAAATAGAAAATGCTGTTTTTTCTTTTCTTTTTCTTTCATTTTCTAGCATGGCAATATGTTTTTTTTAAGTATTACTAGGATACCCAAACAAATCGTTTTATACTAGAGTGGTTTTTTTACTCATAGTTATTAATTTACGGATCATCATTATTTTTTTTTCGTAAAAAGTTATTACAAATTTCAATTTAGTATTTAATTAAAATCTTCATTTAAATTTAAAATAATAATTATTTTATTTAAAATTTAATTATAGATTTAAAAATATTTTAAAACTTCTGAACCGTATATCATTATGATTTATAAATTGAAATTTAATACATTATATATATTTTTATTCATAATTTTTAAAATTTAAAATCAATTTTTTTTAAAATACTTTTTTAGAATAATATTTAATTTTGTAAATTAAAATAATCATAATTTTTACATTGGTATGAATTTTTTTTACATGACATATATTAAAAAAAATTCGTTTAAAAATTAAGAATATTTGATTAGGCATTATAAAAAATAATCTAAATGATATGGTTAAAGATGACTTAATAATTTATTTGGGAATGGTTTGAATTTAAAAAATGTAAATGGAACCCATAAAATGAGGCGTGATGGAGCATAGATTTTATTGAGGAATGTGTATGTGAATGCCCCAAATGAAATCACCAACAAGGTTTGGACTAAACTGCAAGCACACGGTCTCCAAATGTCAGACCCTAGAAAAAGCATAAAATTAAGGTTGTCACTATTTTTTTAGACTTATTCAACCCACTTGCCTCAATATATATCCAGTACAAAACTTATCATCTTATTCTCATATAAAATTAAAACTGTTTTTCAATGAAAATTAAATTTTTGCTTTCATACTTTAATGGCAAATGCGCAAGTCACTAACGTATACTTTCATTTATAATTGAGAAAATTATGAATAGTAGGTTAATGTTTTTGAAATTTTACTATATACACCTTTAATGATCCTCAAGACCAAGTTTTGAAATTTCAGTCACCATTATTAATTTTGAAAGTATCTTAATTTTAGTATCAATATTCAATTCATCCTCACTCAACTCCATAAGGCAGCATATCCATATATAAGCATCAACTAAGAAAAGAATATCAATAATATTTGAGAGTATCAACTTCAAAAATATGCATGCAGAACATAACATTTTTTGCACGATGCAGAAAGGGACAAATACAATACTCACCAATTAAGCAATTACTAATGTCTTATTACTCCAATTATCATCCTAAGTTTTCCACTGTATTAGGTGGTCTTAAATTTAATTGCTCGGATTTTACAACCCTTAATTTATGTTAGTATTCAAATTACACTTCATTTTATAAGAGGTACTAATGCCAAACTCTATTAAATTTATAAATATATATGAAAAAAGTAAGCAAAACAAATTAATTTTAACTTATACAAAAATTGATTATTTTATTTAAATTAATCATTATTAGAAATAAAATGAAAAACCAAAAATTAACTTGAGAGATAAACAGTTAATTTTTAATCACATGCTCCAAAATGTCCTTCGGAAAGTTTTTATCTTTTTTAACAAAAGGAACAAAACTTACAAAAACGTCATCTTAGTCCATCAACATTTATAACTGTACAGCATCGTAGGAGACACAACACATTTAATCTACACTAAATTCATCGTAGTCCATCAAAATTTATAGGAAAAATTGCTTCCTCTCGTCACTGCCATCCCATATACTGACTAAAATTGACTAAAATTGGTACATGCTCATGAATTCCTCCACCTGACCTTTCACATCAAAACTCTGATTTCCTATTGATACATCTTGTCAATTACACATTGATTTATCTAGACACAGAAAAAAAATGTCATGAACCACGCATTTATAACTTAATAAACACAAGTATAATGGATGCTTGCTTAATTAACAGCACCTACACCAGTCTCCTCCTTTGCAGTACCATCAATGTTATCAACCATGGTAACATCTACCGCGCTGTTTTCAGGTGGCACATTTTCACCCACATGGTTATCGACAGTTGTAGCTTCCTTGATTTCGTGTGGCATCTCATCTGCTAGTTCTGGCATATCAGTGTCCTCTGCTGGTTCTGGCATGTTCACGCTATTTTCTGATGGTTCTACATGACTTAAATAAGGGTCATTTTGATGAAACTCTTGTCTCATCTTTTCCTGGAAATTTAGAAAAAAAAAATAGTCCTTTTGTTAAATATAGCCCAGAATGAATATAATTCATGTAAGAAATGGAGCACAATGAAAGCTGTGTATTAAAAGAAGCTAGGGTAAACAATTATCCCACATAAAATGTACCGATAAATAATATCTCATGAATATTTCAGGTATAATGTTTTGGAAAAATGGAAAATAAACTTTACTGTTAACTTATGTTAAGGTGGATTCCTTGACCCCTCATCTTTTTGTAAACTTATCGGTCTGAATGAATTTATTTTATAAAAAAAATGCTGGAAAAGAATCAGAGTACGTGAAGATAAACGGAGAACATTCTTGTATTATGAGATGTGAGACATACTTGATACAGTCTGTCTATGATACAGCCCATCTCCTCAATGCCACTGACAAAATGTATATGATGTTTAGGACCAGGGTCTTCAACATCTCGCTCAGTATATGATGTAATTTCATTCACATTAAGGGCAAGGTGGTCAGGTCTTTTAAGAAGCAGCTGAAATGTCGGTTGCAGCTCATAACATTGTTCAAAAAGTGAACGACGGCAAAAGACATATAAACCAAGCCGAGCACGTGACATTGCTACAACCAATCTTCTTACATCACGTAGGTGACCAACAAATCTAGTACGCACAAGCGATAGCAATATAAAATCATTTTGCTGACCTTGAAACTTGTCCACTGTAGTAACCTGAGAGCAGACATTTATAGAAAACTGACATGATTGAGAATCAAAACTTCAAAAAATGTACAGCAATGTCAGAGATATATCTGTTTACTCCACTGTTTAACACATAATTTAGTAAAAAATGGGAATTAGTAGTGGTCGTGATGTGTAAATTTGTTGAGATCAATTGCAAGGTATGACTTGAGTCCCAAGTTGGAAGTCTGGGATTCTAGTATGGGTTTGTAAGGCTTTGGGTTCTCCAACTACACTATCTAGTTTTTGTGGTGTGGTTCTCCCAATGTACTTACCAAATTTATAGTAAACTCCCTTGAGAGACACTGACATTACACTGCTCTCCCCTGTAATTTTAAAAATTACCCACTCCTCCCCTGAAAGATGAATATGAACTAAAATTCAGTCCGTGTTAGTGTAAACAAGCTTCTTGCCAGTAATTTTCTCTCTACAACATCCAGCGTCATCTGTGATGTAATTAGTTCTGAAACGTACCATCAACTTGGGAAGTTTAGAAGATGAAACGAAGATTATAACAGTTCAAAGCTGATAACGGACACATTTAAAACTTCATTACATCTACTAAAACCCAAAACTCAACAATAAGGAATTTAAATTAGTTAGGTGGTAACATTGAAATTTATAGAGAAAGGAAAGCTGTCAGTGAGAGCCTCATCCATAATTGTTCGTGACTAATAAAAGATTCATTTATGTTAAAATGGACAAAAGAGTAGCACATTCCATCCGGGTAAAATTTCTAACGAGAGGGATATATAATACACCCTAATAAGAATTATAATAAAATCATCTTTAGAAATCAATAACCCAAAATTGACACCACCTTCCATCCTAGAAACCTTTTTGATATTTGTTCAAAAATACAAATTAAAAGTAAAGAATGAGAAAAATACCTTGCTTGGAGGACCAATGAAGTGATATGGAACACATCTCCTATTTATAACATCACGGATGAGAAGTTTCTGGCCATTGTAAGTAGTCAAAATGGATATCTTATTTGCAGGATACCCTAAAAGACGCATGTATATATAGACACTGACAACATATTCTGCTTCCCCCTCATTTTGGTAAAACCAAGGAGATGGAGTGGTCTCCCCCTTAGCAAGGTAATCTGGAACATCCACTAACTGATAATCGTAAGCAAATCCAGCATTTGCCCTATTGAATATCACTTCTTCCTTTACAGAAGGAAGGTCTCCCAATTCTCTGTATCTCCAATTGTAAAGTTTAGCTATACTTGGTCTGGCTCTTCCTTGAGCATTTAGCTCAATATAAGGAATGCCCAATCGGACAAATCTAGTAAACAGGCTCTGATCCATGTGACTGTACTTCTGAAAAGCCATATTCTTCACAACAGGAGGTAACTGGTGATGATCACCAATTAGAATGCAGCGTTTAAGCCGTGCATGACCATCCTCTTGCCGCTGGAGTAACATTGGAATGAAAGTCTCAATTTCTAAAATTTGAGCACTTTCTTCCATTAACAAGTTGTCATACTTGAAACCTAACTGGAGGAAATCTTTCCTCTTTAGTGCGGCATGGGTGCAAGTCATTGCCACAATCTTAGCCTGCTTGGTCATTAAGTAGTTAGCCCTATCAGCTGTTGACTTAAGTAATTCAAATGCCCGACACTCTTCAAGTTCTTGAAACATGGTCTTAAGATGACGAAAGCACCCCATAGCAGCCCGCATATCTTTCTCAAAAGACTCACCAGTAAATACAGGATGTGGTGTATCAGAGAAGAACTCTTTGAACGGGAAACGATCTTGAATAAATGTTGACTTTTCTTTATTCTCAGCACAAGCAGCAAGAAATTGTTCCCAGCGTGAATAAACATGAAGTAACCAAAAGTATCCTGCAGTTTCACAAGTGTAACCCACATCCTCTGGCAATTGAAGAGATCTTGCCAGCCTCTCCACTTCACTCAGCAATTCTAGCCGTCTAACAAGCATTGCATTAACACGACCTTGCCGACTAAAATCCAAATCAGTTGCTAGCTCTTGTTCTCCTTGACCAAGTCGGAGAAGATACCGTGCAGGAACATCTCTCTAAAACAAAAAAGGATTAAAATGAAAAACACGTTAAACTTATGTAAAAAGACAAGAATTTATAAGCTCAAAGCATAGGTTATTCCCAACAAGAAAAACAATATCAGACACTGGGTTCATCTTCCACACAACTAAAAATTTGGTTGAAATCAAACAATAATGATAAAACCAATTCAAGTTTAATGAAAACAACATCGATGATAAATCCCAATAATTTCTTAAAATGCAGAGAAGGAAAAATATGTAACGAAGTTAGGTAGATATGAGGGATAAAGGGTTGTGTGAAAGATAGAAAACTAAAATGATAAGTTTTTTTATCACAAGTTAAAAAAGAAAATCCAGAGAACATTCTGAATATACTTCAATCTGCAGCAAATCATCTGTTTCACTATCCGAGTCTCCCTTGAAGTTCTCTGCCACTTGCACGTTGCCATTGGAGGACAAAATACTCCCAGAGAAACACAACACCCTGGGACCAAAACCTACCATTTCATTCCCTTTTTTTGGAATTGTGTTTGGTATTATTTGAGAATATTTATTTGTCGCCAAGGATCAAAACTGCCAATCCATCAATTAATTACAAAAAATATACTATATAAATTACAAAGCTTATATAGTACGTGAGCAATACAAGGCTCACACCAAGTGAAGCCTAGAGAGCGTAGATGTACACAGCCTCACCATCACCACATAAGAGAGGTTTTTCCAAGACTTGAACCCATGAGCTCCAGGCCACAAGACAGAAAACTTACCCTTGTGCCAAGGCTTGCTCTCTTAGAAAGAATTGCAACATGATGGCTTTCCCTTCCCCAAAATAAGTACATAGTAATCATTTCATGCACTAGGACATTAACTACTAAAAATTTTAATAAAGAATTCAAAATCACACAAAATATGTAAGGAGGAGGAACAAAATCTCACCTGCATTATCTTCTCAAACAGATCATTCAAAGCCTGATTTGAATGAGTAATTATTAAGGTTCTCTGAGAAGGACAATTATGATAAAGAACATTCAGAATTTGTACAGCTGTATCAGTCTTTCCTGTACCAGGTGGCCCCACAACCATAGTTAAACCAGGCTGAATGCCAGAGATAATTGCTTCAACCTGCTTGACAGGAACATTCCACATTATTATTAGTATCACTCCTGTATTCAGAGATGGAAATAAGATAAAGTCAATGTTGGGAAATGTATATGGGGATTTTGATCACTTGCAGTTTAACTGCAGCTAGAGAGAAAGGAAGAACCGGAAGCTACACAATTTTTTAAAATGTGTGGACCAGGTTCTCTTTTTCTTGCTCTCTCCGACTGCAGCTACTGACAGAAAGCTAACGTGGCAAGAAAAATAAAAACTGTGCAATTTCCTTCCAAATTAGGAGTGGAAATAGCTTTAAAACAACCATCAGCAGAACATCACTTAAGGATGTTAAACACAATCCTATTCTATAAAAATGCAAATGTAAAGAGAAAATATGCTACAACCAAAATCATGAGAAAACTACATAGATTCCCGATTGCCATAAAACAATGGTCTCCTTATTCTTGTCAAACTTTTTTAAAAGGTAGAGCATACCTAATTATCCATTTCGCATTACACTACATACTTAATACATACTGGATCAAGAAATACAAGCACTGTACATTCCAGGTTAATCAAATTAGCCATATGAATAAATGAATTTTGGTCAATAAATCAGACTCAACCTCAGCAAGGGGCATAGTAAGATAAAAACAAAAATCAGTATGCAAGAAAAGTGAAAGTATATGATTGAGATCAAGAGCTGAGTGCACCTGTGTAGGAGTAAATCTAACTGAATTTTGTTTGGGCTGATCTTGAGGATAAGGACCAGGATCTGGAGGAGTATATGCCTCAATAATTAGTGTTTCTTTCTGATGATTAGTAACAGCCGTATTGATATCATTCCCAGTAAGAGATCCATTGCTTGGTTTGAGTGTTCTGGGAAGCTTGATCTTAAAAGGAGGTCTTGGATTCAAATTTTCTGAGCCATTGGAATTAATAAAAGACACCTGAAAGATACATGAAATAAGAGGAAAATTGCATAAGCACCTTAATTTCATACAATAATTCCCAATGGAAGACATCAACCACATGCATACAACAATAACTTAATGAATTTGAAAATGAAATACTCACCTCATAATCCACAAAACTTTCTTTCAAGTGATCAACATCAACAAAAGTATCTTTGAAATCTACTGTCTCCAATAGATCAGGCATATTAGTCCACTGTGCAGCAGAAGGATCCCCATAACCAAGAAAAATGTTTTCTAACCACCTGGGAACAATACAGTATTCATTCATTAAATCCCTTATTGATTCTAGGATGGCTTTAAAATTGTTCTCTTTTGGCTTCCTCCTCATCAACACATTAAATGTACCGTAAACATCTTCTGCCCCCTTCTCAGCAATGTTACTTACATCCATGTGATATTGTGCTGTATCCAAAGCCACAGTTACTGTTCTCAGTTCCCCCTTTGGGGGTTTCCACTCATCACGTTTAATTCTTCCAGAAAAATCATTCATAAGGTTTCCTTCCTCATCACGAATCTCAATAACTTCACATCCCCGTACATATTGTAGGCCAAGCTTCTGTGGGACACTAGCCTTTTCTTCTTCCTCTGCACTAAGAGGCTCAAATGATGGGCGAATAGATAGTAAAAACAACACATCATGTTCTTTGAGTGCATCCCATTCTGATCTAATTTGTGCTCTATAGCTGGAAATACTATAAGTAACTTCTGCAGTCACAGATGATGGTTTGACTTCTCCAATATTAGGTTGTTTAACTTCAGAAATTTTGAATTCTTTAATTGGCACTCCCATTCTTGACCAACCACGAAAAGCAGTTTCTCCATCATTATTGATATATGCAAGAAGATGTGGAACAGCTTCCTGAATGTCTTCACGTATCTCATATGTTGATTCAAGTCTAAAAAGATTAAAATTTCGAAGAAGGTAATCATGAAGTGTTAAGAACTGTAAGTTCAGCTTTGGCAATGCTAAACAGCCTTCTCCTGAGTAATTTATGCTAGGTACAACACTTTCATCCCACATAATTTGCTCATTTGGGTAAAGGGGAAGAGCATTAATGGCTTCTTTTTGAGATTGTTGCTTCTCAAAATAGGATACCATTACTTCAATAAGAAAATCAACCCTCTCTGACCAGGGGTCTTCCTTGGAGACGAGTTTGAGCTGCATAATAAAACCGTGTCAAAAGAAGAGGTCTGTGGAATTGAAATCAACACCCGGTGCATTCTTGCAAACATTACAATACTATTTCTTAAGTTAATCAACATAACTATCACATGAAATAATGGAAACACCTACATTAAAATGTAAGTTAAACCATCTACCATTCAGTAAATATAGCAAAAGCTCACTTTTCCTTATAGTATAAGGATAATAAACAGAGGAAGCCAGTATGCATTTAGAAGGGAGACTCACAATTATCAGGATAAGTATAAAAATGGCAACTAAATTGGAATATGTAAATATATATATGTGTGTGTATGTGTGTGTGTGTGTGTGTTCAATTTATATTCAGAGCTTGATGCATTGCCAATTTCACAAAAGAGAAAGAGATATGAAGTACAGAAGAAGAATAAGTGAAGTAATGAAATTACTATAATCATTAGTGTTGAGACATGTTTTTTTATCTTTTTGTATTCTCTGTGTATGTTCCTTAGACTAGGATTAAGGGTTTAGACTGAGTCTCATATCTCTTTGTTGTATCTCCTTTATCTATAAATACAATGTATCAGTGCCTTTAGACACTGTATTGAAACTCTAAACAAGTTTCTTAAGTTGGTATCAGAGCGGGTACGATTCTGCACTAATTTCCGGTCATCCTTGTCATCTCCAACCACCGTGGGCTGCCGTTTGCCTCCGGCCACCGTCTCAGTTTGGTCCGGTGAAGATAGGGTTTGGTGCTCCTCGAAGAGAGTGACCCACCCTTCAATCGCTCCTCCATGTGCAGCTTCTCCAAGCGGAGCTCCCCAGGCGCGTGTGTCCCACACGCCGCCCTCCAGTGTCCGAAATTAAGGCCTCTGAGTCTAGTGGTACCCTTATTTTTCTGTTTTGAGAACTTTGAAAGCTAGGTCATGTGGGTACCCTATTGGTTAGGTTTATCTTTCACCTCTTTTTAAATAAATGGTTTCATCTAGTGCTTTTTCTTTTTTTGCTACTCCCACCATAACCAGTGCCAAACTCAACTGAAAAAATTATCTATCTTGATCTGCATAAGTCGAACTATGGTTTCTAGGTCAGGGGTATCATGACCATCCGGAGAAAGATGTGAACTCTGTTTCTGCCTCAAAGAGATCTCAGTGGAAGAAAATAGACTTCCAACTTTGTGCAATCTTATGGCAATATGTGGAACTTGAGGTTCTTCAGCTTCTCAGGTCATTCAAAACCTACTCTTCCTTTTGGAAAAAGGCTCAAGGCATTTTTGCTAACGATATTCAGCGTCTCTTTGATGTAACTTAAACAGTGACGTCTCTCAAACAAACAAATCATGACATGATGTCTCACATTGCAAAAGCTAGGGCTGCTATAGAGGAATTAAAAAGGTTTCTTGTGGCAAATACCTTAGAGGAGTTAAACTCCAAACTGGATAAGTTATATATGATCTTAATTTTGAGGAGTCTACACTCTGATTTTGATCATGTACGTGATCAAATCTTAGCTGGTGATTAGGTTTCGTCAATGGATAATCTTGTCACGAGGCTAATTCGAGTTCCCAATCTTATGACATATGAGAATCATGTGGAAACAGTTGAAACTTCAGCTATGGTTACTCCTCGTGGTCGAGGAGGAGGACGTAAAGGGAGATGTGGAAGTACAAAAGGTCGTCCTCAATGTTCCTATTGCAAGAAGATGGAGCACATGCAAGAAAACCATTATTCCTTACACGGTTTTCCTAACAGGAATACCACTGTCCATGTTTCTAAGTCTAAAAAACCAGATATGAAAATATTTTATGAGGAGTATCAAGAGTTTTTTAAGTTCAAATCAGGAAAATTCAACACTCAGGGTCAATCTTCTTCCATGTCTAGTGTTTCAACAACATGTCAAAACCCATGGATTCTTGATTCAGGTACCTCTGATCATATATCTGGTAACAGTTCCTCATTTTCCTCCATGTCCTATCCTAAAATTTCTCATTTGATTAATGTGGCTAATGGATCCAAAGCAAAGTCACAAGGAATTGGCCATGTTCCTTTAACCCCTGCTTTGAATTTAAATTCTGTATTTTTCATTCCTAATTGCCCTTATAACTTGATTTCTGTAAGTCAATAGACTCGTTCTCTAAATTATTCTATAACATTTAATTCCAATTCTTTTCTGATTGGAGAAGGACATGAATCACGTGATCTGTATTATCCAAATCCAAGTCCTTTGATGTCATGCCTTGTTTCTCCTGCTCCTAAACTTTTGCATGATCGTCTGGGTCACCCAAATTTACCAAAGTTGAAAGTGATGGCTCTTAATCTCAAACATCTACAGGGTTTAAAATGTGAATCTTGCCAATTAGAAAAACATGTTAGGTCTATCTTTCCTACATACTCTAAAACTCGATGAAATTTTTCTTTTTTAAATATTCATTCTGATGTTTGGAGACCGAGTCGTGTCTCTTCATTTGACTTCTACTATTTTGTAACCTTTATTGATGAATTTTCCAGATGTACTTGGGTTTATTTAATGAAAGACAGATATGAAATTTTGTTCATTTTTGTGTCCTTCAATGAAATTAAAAATCAATTTGGGAAGGTAATTAAAGTTCTTAGAAATGATAATGCCAAAGAATATTTTTCAGCCTCCTTCTCTTCTTTTTTTATCTTCCCAAGGCATTTTACATCAATCAACTTGCCCTCACACTCCATTGCAACATGGTATTGTAGAAAAGAAAAATAGGCATCTTATTGAGACTGCACGTTCTCTAATGTTTAATATCAATGTTCCTATTCATCATTGGAGAGATTCAGTTCTCACTGCTTGTTTTCTAATCAATCGCATGTCATCTTCTCTTCAAAATCAAATTTCTCATTCTCTTATCTTTCCAGATGATCCTCTTTATCATGTGTTTCCTTGTGTATTTGGTTATACATGTTTTGTATATAATGTCTCTCCAGGTCTTGATAAGTTAAGTGCTAAAGCCATTAAATGTGTCTTCTTGAAGTACTCTCGCCTCCAAAAAGGGTACAAATATTATTTTCCATCCATCAAAAGGTATTACATGTTTGCTAATGTCACCTTTTTTGATGAAACACCCTTCTTTTCCTCCCCCATGGAAGATGGTTCCTCGATTGAAAATGTTCTTCCTATACCCTCATGTGATCCACTTATAATACCTGATCCTTCACCAATTCAACCTACAGGTCTCAATGATTCTCCTCCTCTTCTTACATATCACCGAAGGACCCCACCTACACCTTTACCAGATTCTGCAGATAATCGTGATTCAAAACCTTCTTCATCAACTTTTGATACCATGGATCCTTTGACCTCCTCTCCCACTTCTGATTCTGGATGGACTATTGCACTCAAAAAAGGTATTTGTTCCTCTCGAAATCTTTTTCCTATTTATAACTTTTTAAGTTACCATCATTTGTCTCCTTCCTATTCCTCTTTTGTTGTCTTTTTGACTGACACCATTATTCCTAATATTGTCCATGAGGCTCTTGATCACCATGGATGGCGACAAGCCATGGTTGATGAAATGCAAGCTCTTGTGCACAATGACACTTGGGAGCTTATCCCATTTCCTCCTGGCAAAAAGGTTGTGGGTTGTAGGTGGGTCTATGCAGTTAAAGTTGATAATAATGGTAAAGTGGATCGTCTTAAAGCTCGTCTAGTAACTAAAGGTTACACTCAAATTTATGGTCTCGACTACTGTTGTACCTTCTCTTCAATAGCTAAGATTTCTACTATTCATCTTTTCCTTGCTATGACTACTAATTGTTATTGGTCCCTTCACCAACTGGACATTAAAAATGCCTTTTTTCATGATGACCTTGAGGAAGAGATTTATATGGAGCAACCTCCTAGCTTTGTTGCTCAAGGGGAGTCTGGTTTAGTATGCAAGCTACACCGGTCTCTTTATGGCTTGAAGCAGTCACCCCGAGCTTGATTTGGGAAATTCAGTCATGTTGTACAATTGTTTGGCTTGAAAAGGAGTGAAGCAAATCACTTAGTGTTTTATTGTCATTCCTCTTCAGGCAAGTGTGTGGATCTTATGGTTTATGTTGATGATATTATTATCACAGATAATGATTATTCTAAGATCAACCAACTGAAGAATCATCTATTTGTTCACTTCCAAACCAAAGATCTTGGTCAATTGAAGTATTTCCTTGGTATTGAAGTGGCTCAGTCAAAGGAAGATGTGATCATCTCTCAAAGGAAGTATGCTCTTGATATTTTAAAGGAGATAGATTTAACAAATTGTAAACCCATTGATACCCCAATGGACCCTAATCAAAAATTGGTGGGAGATAAAGGAGAAAAGTTGTCAGACCCATAAAGACTCAGGAGGCTGGTTGGTAAACTCATTTACTTTACTATTACCTAACCTAATATTTCTTAAGCAGTTGGAGTAGTTAGCCAATTTATGCAAAATCCTTGTATTGATCATTGGGATGCCTTGATTCGCATTCTGAGATATGTTAAAGGTGAAAGTGATGAAGATCTTATTGAATTACTTTGGCAAAGATCTTGTTGATTTGATGAAGTAAAAAATGAAGTTAAAGGCTACTTTGTGGCAGTCAAAGGTCACTTAGATAAAAAGGTAGTGGGATTAGTGAGTCTACATCTCTGCTTAAGTATAATCATTTTTATCTCTCTGTTGCATGAGGTTTCTTCATTTAAAAGATTTTGCAAATGTCTCTAAAAAATGTTTAAACGGTTAAAAACAAAGTATTTTGTTAAAAGGTTTTTAATTAACTATTTTAACTAATAGTATATAAGCTTTATCAACTAAAATGTTCTTAACACTTTTGTAACAGGTTTTTAACCGATATGTTTTCGAAATAATCGATTGTTTTCATTAGAAGGATTTTTGAAAACCTTCTACCGAGTGATATAGAATTGATATAATCGATTAAAATGACTTAAAATATTTTGAAAAGTGTTCTGGCAGAATTTTAATCGATACAAACTCGAAATAATCGATTGAAATAACTTGAAGTGTTTTGAAAGTTGCAAAATAATCGATTAAAACAACTAAGAAGTTTTTCCAGAATGTTTTAATCGATTAAAACAAACTTGCTATCAGTTAAAATAACTTCGAAAGTTTTATGAAATCTTTTGGCAAAATTATAATCGATTAAAATGCGTTTCAATCGATTAAAATAACTAAGTGAACTTTTTTCAAAGTGTTTTAATCGATTAAAACACTTTGTTATCAGTTAAAATCACTTAGAAAAGTTTATAAGAATGTTTTGCAGTATTTTAATCGATTGAAAGACGAAACAATCGATTAAAACAGTTTGGAAGATTTTTTACAAAGAGTTTTAATTGATATAAACGGTGTCGTATCAGCTTAAAACAAATCTGGAAAATAATCAAGAATTTTTTAACAGATTAAAAGAAGTTTTAACAGATTAAAACAAGACTTTTAACAGATTAAAAGATTATTTTAACAGATTAAAAGATTATTTTAACAGATTAAATAAACCAGCAGTTTTAAAAATCTTCTATATAAACAGAGTTGCTTGAACTTTTTAAAATACATCTTTTAGCAATCAATCAAGCAATCATAAGTGCTACTTTCAAGAGAGAATCGCGCTAGTTTTGTGAAGTTCATAGAAGTTCTTTCTTGAGGCAAAATTGCATTCTTTTGGAGAAGAAACACATACTGTAGAACTGCATAAATCTGGTTTAAGCGTTCTAGTTTCTTCTATTTGTTTCTTTACTTTTTTATCGTATTGTGGGTGCCTGGAATTGTGGGCACTGGTTTATGTAGCTGGAATTTGGTTGCAGGGTTGGTCAAGAACTAAAATTTGGTTCTTGGTGAAGGTTTAGGTGCAGGGACTGGAATTTTGGTTCTTGTGGTAGATTGAGTGTGAGATTAAAGTTGTAATCTGTAAAACGTTCAATCTAGTGGAACCCAGCTGGAATTTGGCTGGAAACTGGACGTAACCCTGGGATTGGGTGAACCAGTATAAATCTTGGTTGTATCTTTCTAAACCTTTCTCTCCTTTAATTCTGTGACTGCATTTATTTTGATTGTTTGCTGTGTGTGATTCAAGTACTGGTCAAGATTCTTAATCTTTGAAATAGATAATCTGTAAATCGCGAAAATCTTTCAAAGATCAATTCACCCCCCCTCTTGATCTCAACCTACATTTCTAACAAAAGGGGCCCCAAGACAAGGATTGTTATATGAAGATAAGGGTAATACTCAAATTCTAGGTTATTGTGATGCAGATTGGGCTGGTTGTCCCATTGATAGAAGATTTACTATTAGGTATTGTATCTTTATATGAGGGAATTTGATTTCTTGGAAGAGTAAATAACAAACTGTTGTTGCTCGATCTAGTGCAAAAGTTGAGTATAGATCTATAGCACTTGCTACATGTGAACTTGTGTGGATCAAACAATTCCTTCAAGAATTAAAATTCTGTGATAATGGGCAGATGAAGTTATTTTGTGATAATCATGCAGCTCTACAAATTGTCTCCAACCCAATTTTTCATGAAAGAATAAAGTATATCGAGATTGATTGTCGCTTTGTTAGAGAAAAAATAATGTCTAAGGAACTTGTAACTGAATTTGTAAGCTCTAATGAGCAATTAACGAAAATTTTAACTAAATCCTTAAGAGGTCCTAAGATTCAGTTCATTTGTTCCAAGCTTGATGCATACAATCTATACGCTCCAGCTTGAGGGGGAGTATTGAGACATGTTTTTCTATCTTTTTGTATTCTCTATGTATCTTCCTCAGACTAGGGTTAAGGATTTGGGCTGAGGTCCATATCCTCTCTGTTGGATCTCCTTTATCTATAAATACAATGTAACAGTGCCTTTAGACATTGTATTGAAACCCTAAATAAGTTTCTCAAGTATTAGCAATAGTGATAAAGATTAACAATCAATTCAAACTCTAAACATTCCTAAGTGGTACAGGAAAGTTGAAGACAAAAATCAAGATTACAAAAAATAGAAGAGTCAAGAGTTGCATCTATTAATATACCTTACAGCATACAAACTCCCTTAACTCCTCTGCAGAAAGAACAGACAATTTCTTGGACAAATTAGCACGCTTGTGAATAGAACCAATGTTAGTCAAAGCAAGTTCCCGCAGCTACAACAAGAAAAATAAAATTATGAAATTTCTTTCACAAACATGAATTAGGGAAGATAGGATGAAGAATGACATGATATTATAAGTAATACACAGTAGAGTACGACTTTAGTAGATTGTGTTTATTCTGATTAAATTATGTGTAAGCTCTCACCTTTTCCATCTTTTTAAATGCAAGTAGCTGGAATGACTGCATTCGACTATAATGAGATTCAAGAACCTCGTGATCTGTTAACTGTGTTCCTGTATGATCATTAATCTCAAACCCTTCATAGAATTGCAGCAAATCAACCAACTGGGCAAAAAGTTTTCCCTTTTCATGCCTATAGAGTGCACTTAAGTGGCATTTAGCAACTACAGCTACATCAGCCACCAGAGGCCTCAAATACCTACAAATCAGTATCAGAGTTAACGAATATAGAAGAAACAGAGAAAATATTTGTTTAGTAAAATTATACAATAATAAACGCTATTGTCTACAAGTATTTCATCTTCATTCATGTGTTTATGAATTGAATCCATTTTAAGTGCACCGATAATTGTGAGGAAGGAATACAAAATTGGCAATATAAATTCTGGAAGTAACTTGAATATCATTCATAGCACTTGCAAATTATATACATAAAATTTTAAATATATAATATAATAGAAATAAAACAACATAACCTAAAATGACAGAGACTGCAGATAGTCATAACAGAATACCTCCTCGTTGGCAATTGACTCAAGAGGTCAATTAGAAATTCCATAAACCTCTCACAGTACAGGACACAAGCATCATTAACAAGCCTTGAACCAGTAGCATCAAAAATTTCATCGTCCTCACTGGAAAATTGTTTCTGGGGAAATACCTGTGAATCCAGTATCTAAAAAGAAAAGAAACACAACAAGAAGAAATTCAGATAACAACTTTCAAGTAAAAATATTTTGTTGAAACGGAAATCATTATAGTATAGATTCAAACTTGTTAACAAATTAAGACCTCAAGAAATTCTTCTATGAGGTTTCTCACGAACTTCACTTCAACTGTAGTCGAGGGATCTAAAAGTGATCCACCTTCTTTCACAGGTTCCTTTTTTATCATCCTTTTCCATTTCTTGATCAAACCAGGATTAAGACAAAGCTCCATCTACATAGGTGAAGACCAATGGCCCAAAAAACTGACATTTAGCTTACAAATAATAATATTTAATTTTAATCATAAAATTAAGAATATGAGTAACAAAGGTAATATGTCATCATCAACTCAATCTTACCTGAAAACGACCATAAGATAAACTGTGCCAAGATTTCAAACTTGCCAGTCTCAATATTGTCCTGCTAACAACCTCATCTTCCAAACTCTGCAATGCGTAGTATTAGCTTAGCTACATGTAATAATGCTCTAAGGGCCTATTTGGCTCACTATAATTGTTACGTTAGAATGGGAAAGGAGGAAGTATAAAATAGAATCAAATGACCATTCCGAGAACCATTCTTGTTAGGTATGTTGAATAATGGAATGACTATTCTGTTTCATTTCTGTTGAATTGCCATATCAACTCTCTATGTAACACCAACTGACAATTATTAACAAAAGCCAAATTGCACACACGCTTGATCACGACGGGATGATGGGTTGCTACAGTACATTGTACTGCGACAGAATTTGATGACTTGAGAAGTTGAAAATTAATTTCTTCCTCTAGTTATTTTCTTTTATTATTTTCGCCAAAATTAAAACCGTAAACAACACATTCCTATTATATGTCTCAAGGTTTAGGAGCTCTAGCAAAAGAAAAGATATTTGAACAGAAAATTTGCTGAAACATAATGACTGTGTAAAGCGTAGTAAATCAACAACAATGCTAGAATCTCCTTCAATGAAAGAAAAACTTTCATACACACAGTCACATAAACATGCATGATTAAATTAAAGGCAACAAAATTGTGCATAACTGAAAGTAAGAGACAAAGCGCAGGTGCCCAAGCCAGCATACCTGAAACGCATTTATCATGAAAACTAGATAATTTGTCTTCTCTGCTATACTCAGTTCTCGTCCCTACAGTAAAATTAAACACAAGGTTTAGCAAAATGCCAAAATTAACATGGGATTCCAACTGTACAGTCAAATGCCACGGTTCACACAAGGAAAGAGGGGGAGGGGGCGGGCGGAATGAACACTTGAAAAAAAATACTTGAAAAGGGCCAAGTTCAGCCTTAACATCAAGGTTGTTGGACCCCACGTGAATTGTGGCTGTATTAAACTACATTAGTGTGCAGCTCCCCGCAATGTCAAGATTGCATTGAGACGAAACTGCAACTGTGACCACCAGCATAATTTAAAGTTGCTAGAAAATACAAATGAACAAGAAAAAATCAAGTGACGGATACCTCCTTTAAGCGAAGAACCCTCTCAAGGAAGCCTTTGAAAGTGTCTTTCCTCTCATGGAAGCAAGTCCAAGCAGCAACATTCTCACGGAACTGGAAGCAAGGCACAGAATATAAATAACAAATGAGAAAAATTGACTGATAATAATGTAGAATGAAGATGGGAAAGAAGAGAAGAGGAGATAAAGGACCTTCTCGTTGACCATGATGATGATGGACATTACGTGCTCGAAAGTGGCAGTGAGAGGGTCGAAATGCGGCCACAAATAATTCTCGAGATACTGGCTAACCTCCAGAATCATGACGCGTTGCAAGGGAACGGGTTTGGAACCCTCCTTCACCAACAATTCGGTTTCGTAGATTTTGCGAACCAGGTCAGTGTCCAACTCCTTCTTCGTCCTCCCTGCTGCATTGCCGCTCGCCAACCAGTTCGCCTCCGCAATCTTCGTCAGCCGGTCGCGCTGAATCTCCGATAGAGTGATGCTGCTCGGAACGCCGCCGCTGCCACCAGCGGTCTTTTGAAGTTCCACTTTCGAGTCCGACGGCGTGGCAAGCGGGTACTCGGCGACGCGGTGGCGCCGGAAATCGTATGTCCCCGTGCCGTAAACCTTGGTCATGATGGCTGGGAGGGTAGGGGAAGTTGTGAAATTAGGGTTTTGTGGGTTAAACCGTACACAAATCAACTACGCTTTTCTTTTCTTTTGGCTCTTGGGATTTTTGTATGTCTATGGAATCGACCTCCACTCACCAAGATTTAGTGTTTGTTCTCAGCGCGCGGAGCACTGGGTCAGCTTAAACGGGATGAGGTTTAAACTTCATAAGTTATGTCCAAAACATGCACATTAACGCCGTTTAGCTTCTGCTTCTTTCCTCTCTATTATTAGCTTGCATATTAATAAAAATATTTAGCTATATACAGTTTATAATATATATAAATCTTTTTATTTTAAATGGTAAAAACAAATTGTAAGTATAATTAAAGAAAATCTTAGAAAACATTTCAATGTACTCAAAATTTTAATATATATATATATATATATATATATATATATATATATATATATATTAATATTATTATATCAAAATTTATAAAAGATAATAGATAAAGTATATGTGAAAGAGTTTTATTGATAATTTATGTATATGAAATTGTTTTTAATTATTGAAAGTTTATTTAAAAATATAATTAAAATTAAAAATTAAAAAACAGATACTTAAAATCAAATCAGAACAAAATAAAACTTGTTTAAAATGACCAAGAAAAAAATCTATTTATTTAAAATTAAAAAGTTTAAATTCAATACTCATATATTTTCATTTTAATGTGATTAAGAAAACAACCTAAAAAAAGGTTAAAAATATTTACTTCTTTTTTCTTAATTAGAAATTGCATTAAATTTTGACATATATTCGTTATGTAAATAACTTGTAACCGATCTTTTTTTCTTTTAACAACTTCAAATTTACTCAATTATTCAATAAAATATATATTTAAATTTTTGTTATATTTCAGGGATGAATAATGTTGTTGGAATCCACTTTTTTTCATAAATAATATTATTTAAAAAAAATATTTCTCAAAAATAGCATGTCTATAACATTATTTACCCATCTAGCATAATTCATTGGTCACGTTTAGAATTCGATTTTCGGGAACCGAACTACCATTTCTTTTTTTAAGTCAGAATCTGGTCCTAAAAACCGAATTCTGAATTGGTTTTTCTAAATTTTTTTATATTTTTGTTTTTGTTTTATTAATTTTATAAATAATTTTTTTATAATTCTAAATATAATTTATTTTTAAGTTTATAATTATTATTTTAATTTATGCAATAAATATATATATATATATATATAATTAATTTAAAATTCATATATATAATTTTAATTTATGTAATATAATTATAATTATAATTATAATTTATATAATATATATAATTTATTTAACATTAAAAATAGATATATTTTTATTAATTTTATAATTATAATTTTTTTTAAGGTTATAATTCTAAATATAATTTTTTAACTTTATAATTATAATTTATATAATATATATAAATTTATAAATATTTTTTTATTTTAATTTGATATATATTTTTTATTTTTAATTATTTAATGTATATTTAAAGTAATTTATTTATATGTTTATATATAATACTTTATAATTTTATTTGTATAAATAAAAAATAATTATTCTAAATTAATCAAGTAATGAAGAAATTTGATTAATTGAAAAACTCCTAAGTTTCATAGTACATTGAGATATTTCTTAACTAACACAATCTAATGATGCGAACTAGATGCACGTGCAATATTGAGGCATGTTCTTCTACTATGACCAGGGATATGACAATATGAACATTTTTTCATCCTACTTTGATTTTCTATAATATCCATTTCAGTTCTTATATGACTTGATTTTGGTCGACCCTTTAAAGTTTTTTTCATTTTTGAATTTGCACACAAAGTAGGTCTTGTGTATGTTGGCTAATATTCTTCATTTTGCAGCAACCAAAATTGTGTTTCATATACCTTTGAAACTTGTTGTAAGGTATACACTGGATGAATGTAGTTGTTGAAGTCATGGTGTGCATGCTTGCATGTAGCAATAACATGTTAACAAGGCATGTGAAATTTCTGAAATTTCCCACAGTCACACCACAAATCATCAAGGCAAACTGCAAACCTCCCTACTGGTCGAATTTTACGTGGGTTTTGTGTTTCTTCTACTACAAATTTTGTGGTAGATCTGTCAAAAGTTATGACTCTATGTGTGTTCACCTGTATTTGTGCTTCCTCTTAATTTGTGACCAAAATTTCAGAATATACATGACCAACATCGATCATGACATTTATCTGCCTCCCTCTTTCAATGAAAAATTTGTTGCAGTGAGTGTACGTTGCGTTGACCATGGAGCAAATGGGGCAGATTTCTTGTTTTTTTCAAAATAGAGTTGATAGACTCTGCTATGTTGGTCGTCATGAGGCCTCAACGTCGTCTATTATCCTATGCAAGTGCCCATTGTTTTCTAGGTATCTCATCCAACCAATTAGTTGCTTCTATGTCACATTGCCTCAAGATGTTATAATAGTAGTAGAATCATGGTTCGATCATCCCATATGCTACAAAAATATTAAAAAGAATAGTTAATATAAATATTTATTTGCAACAATTAAATAAAGAATAAATTTTAACAAATTTGAAGCAAAGAAATTACCCATATTTACAACATCTTTCTTTAGTGCGGTATTTTTGAAACATCTCATAAAATTATGTGCAATGTGTCTAATGTAATAGACATGCACTGAATTATATTCTGTCCATCTGCTTCCATTTATCATGTATGCACTTTTAATGGATTCATGTCGGTCTGATATGAGACATAATCCTTACTGGGGTGTGACATATATTTGGAGGTTTTTTAAGAAAAAAAAAACAGGCATCACTTATTTCACCTTCAACCACTGCAAACGCAATGGAGAGGATGTTGTTGCGGCCATCCTGTGCTACTACAACTAACAAGGTACCTCTATACTTTCCGTACAGAAAAGTTTCGTCCACTTGAACAATGAGCTTGCAGTGAACAAATCCATCTATGCTTTTTTAATTTTGTTCTGATTTGAATTTTGTTCAATATTTGAATTTTGTTAAAGGACCTCACATTGGTAAGCTGGTTGTGACTGCAGTATGTAGATGAATCCAAGAACAAATTGTTGCGTGGATTGTAAGAAACAAGACAACTTCTTATACGAATCCTCCCAATTATCGTAGATAATCTCCATTGCCTTTTGTTTGGCTAGCCAAACTGTTTTATACGTTATAATGTAACCCGTTGTTAATTGAATATGGGCTATGATTGTGGAGATTGGTGTTGACGGATCAACATCAATTATTTGACCAATTGTTTGGGAAATCATTTTATATCCCAACTTGTTGTGGTCTTGGCTGATTAATGGCGAAACGCATGTATGGTGCCTTTCAAGCTTCATAATCTCTCAATATTGCTCTCTTGTGCGCAATATTGCTCGACATCTCCAGCTATATTGGTTATTAACACATTGAAAATGTATCTACTTTGGTTTTAAATTTTCTCCTTGTATGTGCAGTGATTGACAATGTGAAAGCGGTTGATGACATCTTGAACTTGTTATTTTGTTATGAAACATTGTCCAAGAAATAGAGTTTCTGGCGGATAAACAAAAGACTCTCTATCCAACGCATGACCATACTCTGGGTCTTGTTGTTGAATGTGACTTTCAAAGTTAAGAAAATGTTGTGGTGGGTTGTATGGTTCCATGAAGTTTATTACATGTGTAGGGATATGTGATTGTTTGTCCTCTGAATCATCTTATTGTTGGCAAAAAATTTCTTCTTTGTCTTTGTTCTCACTAAAAGGATCAACGACTTCAATTGGGAGGCCAACAATTTCATTCTCTTATGTAGGTAGTTCTTCATCGATGTTGGTGGAAGGCCCAGTTAGAAGTTGGGTAAAAGGGATGTAGTTATTATGTGTGGGTATTTTTGGATCAGTGTTTGAGAAGCTTGGTAGGGTGGGTGACTTAGTATCGGATTCCCTACAAAGCTGTCCACCCCATTAATGCTTGCTAATAACCACATGATTTTTTCTCCTATAAATACATAAGAGCACTTTGAGTTTTATTCACTTTGAGTTTGTTGCCTAACATTCACTCTGAGTTTTCTCTCTACATTTCTTCATCCTCTTACTAGAGCACTTTGAGTTTTCTCTCAACATTTCTTCTTCCTCTTACCTGAACACTTACACTTCTCTCTCACAAAATGTTGTTGTGGAAGCAAGCTTAACATAAAGTTGCCTTCATTGGAAGCAATGCAAGTTTTCAATACATTTCCTTGTTTTATATACATCATTTCATACATTGCCTGTTTTTTTTTACAAACTTTATGGTAATGTACAAGAAACGAAAAATATGATTTCATCATATTGTCACTCAATGCCAGAACCGCACCCATTAATTGTTCCTTTATTAGAACAACTTGGCTTTGCTAGAATGTCTAAGTTAAGGCACTTGAAGGTGGATCACTGTTTGGTCACAATATTAATAGAACGGTGGAGACTTGAGACTAATACCTTTCATTTTCTAACAAGAGAATGCACCATCACCTTGGAAGATGTTTGTCATGACCCTTTTTTTTTTTTTTTTTTAAAGAATCTAACATGCGTTAATTATGCGGAAAAATAGATTTTTTTTTTTCATGAGAGACCAAATTTTTTTTTTCTGGATAATACAATTTCATTCATTCATTAATATATATATATATATATATATATATATATATATATATATATATATATATATATATATATATATATATAATCAAGTACAATACATTAATCCTTCAAATACAAATAGGTACAAAGTCAAGTCTTTCAAAATACAAAAAAAGCTCATGACTATTCTCCTATCTATGGGAGTGAGCTACGTGCCCAAACTTTCCCCCACCCTTAGCTCCTCCTGGCTTATCCATCCCTTTGGGTAGCCGAGACTCCACTTGTATAACCTGCTCCCGTATCAAGTACGATCACAGCAGAACACATCACAAAGAAATGCAAGGGTGAGCTAAAATCAACATTTATAA